TTTTTTTTTTTTTTTTTTTTTTTTGAGACAGTCTCACTCTGTCGCCCAGGCCGGAGTACAGTGGTGTGATCTTGGCTCACTGCAAGCTCTGCCTCCCGGGTTCACGCCATTCTCCTGCCTCAGCATCCTGAGTAGCTGGGACTACAGGCGCCCACCACCACGTCCGGCTAATTTTTTGTATTTTTAGTAGAGACGGGGTTTCACCATGGTCTCGATCTCCTGACCTCGTGATCCGCCCGCCTCGACCTCCCAAAGTGTTGGGATTACAGGTGTGAGCCACCGCGCCCAGCTAGATATATATTCTTAAATATTTATAGATGTAATGATATGACGAACTCTAAGATATGCTTCAAAATAATACAGTTGGGGTTGGTAGTATAGAGGAAACAAGAATGGCCATGAACCCTGTAGCTCAGGGAAACATGAGCGTTTATTGAACAATTTGCCTCTACCTTTGTAATTGATTGAAATTTTCCATTATAAAGGTTTAAAAAATTCTAATGTCCTTAAATAATGCTTTGTTATGTAGCTTAGTATTTTCTGTGGTTATAGAATGCTCTTCACACTAAAATCCTCCCGCCTGGGTTCTTTTCAGATAAGCCATGGCCTTCATTTCAATCTTTTATAGAAATATAAAACAAGGTTAAGTACCCTCAAAACTAAGTGACAATTTAGTTGTGGATAAAATAATAAATGCTTTAGCACTAAAATTTAATTTATTCTACACTTGCAAACTAACTTTAAACCTGAAAAAGCATACTTTTATTAACTCATTAAAAATTATAAATGTTTTTACTTATACCACCTAAGGTAAGTTTTCATTTTAAAAATAAATTCCAGTCACAGATACAAACACAAATAGCTCTATTACTACAGTTTGTACATGCTGAGGAAACTAAGCATTATTAGGGGTATCAAATTTCAAACTTCAATAAGCATCTTTTGTGGCTTTTCCACTAATTCTTTGATATACTCTGGAGATTAGCAGTGACAGAACAACATTTATTCTCTACTTCCTTCTCACTTTAAGACTATAGATAACACAGCCAGTGGTTCACGAATATGCTTACAGATCTATATATGTGAGCCAAAAGAATGTTCTTACCTGTTGCCTATACAGTGAGAGTTTGCCTTCAATGGGCTCATTTCTCATCATTTTCTTTTCAATCAGCTGGTTAATTTCTGTGTTTATTTCATTTATCTAAAACAGCATGAGAGAGAAAAAAAAAAGTTAAATCTTTCCCTATAAGTACATAAACTAAGTGACATCTGGCCAAACTAGCCTTGAATTTATGGTTTTTTTTTTTTGTTTGTTTGTTTTTTTAAGAGACAAGGTCTCAGTTTCACCTAGACTAATTTTTTTTTTTTAAGAGATGGGGTCTTGCTATGTTGCCCAGACTGATTTTGAATTCCTGGGTTCAAGTGAGCCTCCTACCTTGGCCTCCCAAAGTGCTGGCATTACAGACGTGAACCATAGCACCCAGCCTGAATTTACAGTTCTTAACATTAAGTCTCTGATGGGCAAAACAGTTCCATTAATGTTATGGGGAGCTTGTTATGATTACTTTTAGAAACAATTTACATTTAATGATATATAGTTACACAATTTGATTATTTATACAGATTTAATCACCCATGTCTAAATTATTCTAAAGTATTTTACATGAAATATTTATACATTACCACAAAGATGCTTTCTAAAAATCTGAAGCTATCCCCTCACCTAGGTTGTGACTTCAAGTCACTGCAAGTGATAAAGCAAATGTGAACAAACATGCACCAAGGATTTATTACAAGGATTCATGAACCCAGCTGAGAGTTGACAGGGATAACGCCCTTCCTGTGCTAATAATCTGTGAATCTTCGATAGCTATCATTTATCCTAATCATTAATCTAAATATCTCCAAAATGTAACAAAACTGAATAAATCTGACAGAAGCATATGGTTCCTCAACAAATCAAAACAAAAACCATGGTTTTCAGTGTATCTATCCTTTGAAAGATTAGAGTTCTCTCTAACCCTAACCCTAATTCTGTGACATTAAATTTTAGCCAGATTAGGCCGGGCGTGGTGGCTCATGCCTGTAATCGAAGCACTTTGGGAGGCTGAGGCGGGTGGATCATCTGAGGTCAGGTCGAGACCAGCTTGGCCAACATGGTGAAATCCCGTCTCTACTAAAAATACAAAAAATTAGCTGGGCATGGTGGCACGCACCTGTAGTCCTGTCTACTCCAGGGGCTGAGACAGGAGAATCGCTTGAACCCAGGAGGTGGAGGTTGCAGTGAGCCGATATCGCATCACTGGACTCCTGCCTGGGCGACAGAGTGAGACTCCATCTCAAAAACAAAACATAACAAAAGAAATTTTTAGCCAGATCTGACTTGGACATTTAATTTTTCTAAGTAAATTAAAAGCATAAAACAGGCCCGGGTGCGGTGGCTCAAACCTATAATCCCAGCACTTTGGGAGGCCGAAGTGGGTTAATCACAAGGTCAGGAGTTCGAGACTAGCCTGGCCAACACGGTGAAACCCCCATCTCTACTAAAAATACAAAAATTAGCTGGGCATGGTGGTGGGTGCCTGTAATTCCAGCTACCTGGGAGGCAGGAGAATTCACTTGAATCCAGGAGGTGGAGGTTGCAGTGAGCTGAGATCGCACCACTGCACTCCAGCCTGGGCAACAGAGCTAGACTCTGTCTCAAAAAAAAAAAAAGTCAGAATTACATATTTAATTGTAGTTTTAACTGTAGTGGCTATTAACCACATATTAAGCACACTACAGAATTAGCAAGTCAAAACTTTTCAATTAGGCTGAGTGCAATGGCTCACACCTGTAATCCCTGCACTTTGGGAGGCTGAGGCGGACAGAGGCAGGCAGATCTCTTGAATCTGGGAGGTCAAGACCATGCTGGGCAACATGGCCAGACCCTGTCTGTACAAAAAATTCAAAAACTTTGCCAGAACTGGTGGCATGCACCTTATAGTCCCAGCTCCTTGGGAAGCTGAGGTGGGAGGATCACTTGAGCCTGGGAGATGGAAGCTGCAGTGAGCTGTGATCATGTCACTGAACTCCAGCCTAGGTGACAGTGTGAGACTCCATTCCCTGCAAAAAAAAAAAAATTAGCCAGGCATGGTGGCGTGCACCTGTAATCCCAGCTAGTTGAGAGGCTGAGGCAGAAGAATTGTTTGAACCCAGAAGGTGGAGGTTGCAGTGAGCCAAGATTGTGCCACTGCACTCCAGCCTGGGCAACAGAGCAAGTTCAGTCTAAAAAGTAAAAAAAAAAAAAAAAAGGCACTGAACCTGACCTAGTGTTTTAATTCTAGGGAACAAAAATGGTATAATCAGGCCAAGTACATTGGGTCACACCTGTAATCCCAGCACTTTGGGAGGCTGAGGTGGGCAGATCACCTGAGGTCAGGAGTTTGAGACCAGCCTGGCCAAATGGCAAAACCCTGTCTCTACTAAAAATAAAAAAATTGGCCAGGCGTGGTGGCACATACCTGTAGTCCCAGCTACTTTGGAGGCTACTTGGGAGGCTAAGGCAGGAGAATGGCTTGAACCCGGGAGGCGGAGGTTGCAGGGAGCCGAGATCTCGCCATTGCACTCCAGCCTAAGCAACAGAGCAATACTTCATCTCAAGAAACAAAACAAGGCCCGCCTGTAATCCTAACATTTTGGGAGGCCGAGATAGGTGGATCACAAGGTCAGGAGTTCGAGACCAGCCTGACCAACATGGTGAAACCCTGTCTCTACTAAAAATACAAACATTAGCCAGGCGTGGTGGCACATGCCTGTAATCCCAGCTACTCAGGAGGCTGAGGCAGGAGAATCACTTGAACCCGGGAAGCGGAGGTTGCAGTGAGCCAAGATCATGCCACTGCACTCCAGCCTGGGCAACAGAACGAGACTCCATCTCAAAAAAAAAAAAACAAAAAACAAAAAACAAAACAAAAACAAAACAAAAAATTAGCCAGGCTTGGTGATTCGTGCCTATAATCCCAGCTAGTTGGGAGGCTAAGGCTGGAGAATCACTTGAACCCAGGAGGTGAAGGTTGCAGTAAGCCAAGATTGTGCTACTGTACTCTAGCCTGGGCAACAGAGCAAGTACTGTCTCAAAAAAATAGAAAAAGGTATAATCTGATACTAGCTTTCAATAAGCATTACAACATTTAGTAATTCCAAGGCAGGTATACCAGGTTAATAAAAATATTAGCTTTAAATATAAAATTGCTATAATACTTTGCTTGGAAATAAAAATTAATAATTAAAATATTTTTAAATTTCTCATCTAAATGCTTATATTATGAAGACATGAACCCACTGGTCAATTCATTCATATTAATTTACATATTTAAGTTATTTCATTTGCTAATCAATTGACTATGTTTTCATAACATCATGTGGATTAAGTAACAGCATAACATTCTAAAATTCCTCATAAAGGACAAACCCTCATGAGAGTTGTCAACTCTTAGCATAGATTAATTTAAGAGTCAATAGTGGGATACTACAGAAAGCAGTTCACATAATTTTATAGGACTGGGGATCAGATAAAATTGAGAGCTATAAAAAGATGATTCTCACTTACTTTAGATTCAAGTTCAAGAAGATCAGAATGGCCCATTGCTGGCTCTGAAACTACTTTTTGTAAAAAATGTAATTCCTTTTTCTTATTTTCTAATTCTTTAGGAAATTTTTCAGTTACCATATATAAATTAAATTTTATCTCCTCCTCTAGCCTCTTCATTAAACCTTTAAAAATAAAATAAATAAATATTCAGCCCAAAAAGTAGGTACAGTGATATTCTGTATACTATTTTAAATATAAGACCTGGATAGGGCATATCTGTTGAAAACAATTTGCATAATATCTAGCATAGTACAATAAAAGATTGGCCATTGAAATATTTTATTGTTGATTACAATGAAAATGAAGAAACACAATTTACATGGAAGAATATTTAAATAGTTATAGAAAAAGTGTTATTATGACCTTTTCAAATTATAACCTAATTCTTTTATAACCCACGATACGCAAAAATAACATGTGCAGAGTCAGATATATCGTTGGGTCATATTTTACCTTCTAAGTATTTAAGAGACCCATGAACCAAATGATAACAAAATCTAACCCAGGTGCTCTTTTATTCAGATGATCATGTATTTTTTTTCTTTCGGAATACTTTTGATGCAGTATATATATATGTGTGTGTGTATTTATATTTTTTTATATATATACACACACACACACATATATATATTTATTTATTTATTTTGAGACAGGGTCTTGCTCTGTCACCCAGGCTAGAGTGCAGTGGCACTATTATCTCAGCTCACTGCAACCTAAACCTTCACGGCTCAAGTGATCCTCCCACCTTAGCCTCCTGAGTAGCTGGAAGTAGCTGGCACCACAGGTGTGAGTCACCACGCCTAGGTAATTTTTGTATTTTTTTTGTAGTGATGAGGTTTTGCCACGTTGCCCAGGCTGGTCTCTTAACTCCTGGGCTTGAGCAATTACCCACCTCAGCCTCTCAAAGTGCTGGGATTACAGGCGTGAGCCACTGTACCCAGCGCAATTTATATTTCTATTATAACAGTTCATAAATGGTAATTAATTATCATTTGTCAGCTTCAAGCCAATGGAGACATTACTAAAAGCACCACAAGTTAAAATCTAAAAAAGAGAAACAGGCCAGGTGCAGGGGCTCCCACCTATAATTCTAGCACTTTGGGAGGCCAAAGTGGGTGGATCACCTAGGTCAAGAGTTTGAGAGCTGCCTGGGCAACATGGCGAAATCCTGTCTCTACTAAAAATACAAAAATTAGCCGGGCATGGTGGCGCATGCCTGTAGTCCCAGCTACTTGGGAGGCTGAGGAACAAGAATTGCTTGAACCTGGGAGGAGGATGCAGTGAGCCGAGACGGCATCACCGTCACCGCACTCCAGCCTGGACGACAGAGGGAGACTGTCTCAAAAAAAGAAAAGAGGGCCGGGCGCGGTGGCTCAAGCCTGTAACCCCAGCACTTTGGGAGGCCGACACGGGCAGTTCACAAGGTCAGGAGATCGAGACCATCCTGGCTAACACGGTGAAACCCCGTCTCTACTAAAAAATACAAAAAACTAGCCAGGCGAGGTGGCGGGCGCCTGTAGTCCCAGCTACTAGGCAGGCTGAGGCAGGAGAATGGCGGGAACCCGGGAGGCGGAGCTTGCAGTGAGCTGAGATCCGGCCACTGCACTCCAGCCTGGGCGACAGGGCGAGACTCCATCTCAAAAAAAAAAAGAAACAAGGTATCTATCTACACATAAATGTTTTAAGCTTTCCATGTTTTGGTATTTTTTTTATTTTGTAAAGTATTATTAGTTTACAGTTAAGGGGCAATTTATATTTTTAAGATTTTAGTTTTCTTATTTATGCAGATGGACAACTACACACACAGATTTTCAGTGAATAACAGTCTTGTTTTAAATTCCCAGCCTAGAGAGATTTACAAAGTTTATTTCAGATCTTTCCATTTACACATTTACAAATTCTGACTTGAATGTTTTTTGGTTTTCTTGAGACGAAATCTCGCTCTGTCACTCAGGCTGGAGTGCACTGGTGCATTCTGGGTTCACTGCATCCTCTGTCCACCTTCTGAGTTCAAGCAATTCTCCTGCCTCAGCCTCCTGAGTAGCTGGAATTAGTCGCACACTACCAGCGCAGCTAATTTTTTGTATTTTTAGTAGAGATAGGGTTCCATCATGTTAAGGCCAGGCTGGTCTCCAACTCCTGATCTTGAGTGATCCGCCCGCCTGGGCCTCCCAAAGTGCTGGGATTACATGTGTGAGCCACTGCATCCGGCCTAGCTTGAATTTTTAACACATGGAGTTTCTGGTTTAAGTAATCTGTGGACATAGATTGCATAATACATCTGGCCCAAAGCCTTAAAACTATTTTTAGTTCCACTGTGCTAACCATATATTAACATGTAAAATTTTATTAACTGCAAATTATAAGTTTTCCATTCATTACTTCACTACCCCTTCTTTTTTCAGGATTAGAGAAAGGAAGAGAAGAGAAAGTGTTTAATAAATCACACTGTAGGCTGGGCGCGGTGCCTCATGCCTGTAATCTCAGCACTTTGGGAGGCCAAGGTAGGCGAATCACCTGATGTTGTGAGTTTGAGACCAACCTGACCAACATGGAAAAACCCCATCTCTACTAAATATACAAAAAATTAGCCGGGCGTGGTGACTCATGCCTGTAATCCCAGCTACTCTGGAGGCTGTAAACACGCTTGAAGCAGGAGAATTGCTTGAACCCGGGAGGCAGAGATTGCGGTGAGCTGAGATCATGCCATTGCACTCTAGCCTGGGCAACGAGAGCGAAACTCCATCTCAAAAAATAAAAAATAGGCCAGGCATGGTGGCTCACGCCTGTAATCCCAGCACTTTGGGAGGCCAAGGTGGGCGGATTACCTGAGGTCAGGAGTTTGAGAGCAGCCTGACCGACACGGAGAAACCCCGTCTCTACTAAAAAAAAAAATACAAAATTAGTTGGGCATTGTGGCATATGCCTGTAATCCCAGTTACTCAGGAGGCTGAGGCAGGAGAATTGCTTGAACCCGGGAGGCGGAGGTTGCAGTGAGCTGAGATCATGCCATTGCACTCCAGCCTGGGCAACAGGAGCGAAACTCCGTCTCAATAAATAAATAAATAAATAGTTAAATAAATAAATAAATAAATAAAATCACACTGTAATCAGTCAGTCATTCCTATGTGGCTTTTGATTAAATCTACATCCTGGCTTCTTTGTCTGTTAGATGACCAGCTTTTCCATCCTCAGGTTTTTAAACATACCCCATGTAATTAGAGATGCATGGAATCAAAAACTAAAATGTTTTTCAAGATTTAAAATACTCAAATAATATTTTCTGTATTTAAAAAAAAGTTTCTAATTCTAGAAAATATAAACTGATTTACAGTGACAGAAAGCAAATCCATGGTTGTCTGGGGAGGGACAGAGAGGCAGAAGGGGGCAAAAGTGAGACATTAAAAACAGTCAATGGAAATGTTTAGGGATGATAGATAGGTTTGTGATCTTGATCAAAAGCTGATGGTTTCACCAGTGTATACATATGTCAAAAGAAATCAAGAATACACTTTAGGGCATGGGAGGAAAGGGGAAGAAGAGCATTCGAACAAATACTTAATGTGTGCGGAGTTTAAAACCTAGATGACAGGTTGATAGGTGCAGTAAACCACCATGGCACATGTATACTTATGTAGCAAACCTGCACGTTCAGCACATGTAACCCAAAACTTAAAGTAAAATTTTAAAAAAAATTTTTAAAATACACTTTAAATATATGCTATTTATTTACTGAGACAAGGTCTTACTCTGTCACCTAGGCTGGAGTGCAGTGGCACAATCATAGCTCACTTTAACCTCAAACCCTTGGGCTCAAGTGATCCTCCTGCCTCAGGCTCCTGGATAGCTAGGACTATAGGCATGCACCATCATGCCCAGCTAATTTTTTATTATTTTTATTTTATTTTTTTTGAGACTGAGTCTCACTCTGTCGCCCAGGCTGGAGTGCAGTGGCACGATCTTGGCTCACTGCAAGCTCTGCCTCCCAGGTTCATGCCGTTCTCCTGTCTCAGTCTCCCGAGTAGCTGGGACTACAGGCGCCCACCACCATGCCTGGCTAATTTTTTATATTTTTTTAGTAGAGACGGGGTTTCACCATGTTAGCCAGGATGGTCTCGATCTCCTGACCTTGGGATTCACCCGCCTTGGCTTCCCAAATAATTTTTTATTTTTTGTAGAGATGGGGTCTTGCTATGTTGCCCAGGCTGGTCTCAAACTCCTGGGCTCAAGTGATCCTCTTACCGTGGCCTCCCAAAGGAGTAGGATTATAGGCATTGAGTCACTGAACCACACCAAATATGTGCAGCTTTTTCTTTTCTTTTTTCTTTTTTTTTTTTTTTTTGAGACAGAGTCTCCCTCTGTTGCCCAGGCTCGAGTGCAGTGGCACAATCTCAGTTCACTGCAACTTCCACCTCCCAGGCTCAAGTGATCCTCCCACCTCAGCCTCCCAAAGTAGCTGGGACTACAAGCGTGCACCACCACACTTGGCTAATTTTTGTATTTTTTTGTTTTGCCATGTTGCCCAGGCTGGTCTTGATCTCCTGGGATCAAGTGATCTGCTCACCTTTGCCTCCTAAAATGTTGGGATTACAGGTGTGAACCACTGCACCAGGCCTTGTATGGTTTGTTATATGTCGACTTTACCTCAATAAAGCTGTTTAAAACATAAAACCCAAGTTTCCATCAAATTTTAAATTACTCTCTTAAAAAATTTAACTTAGACCTTGAAAACTAGTCATATGTTTCTATGAAAAGTTTTAAAAGCATTATCTTTCAAAATCCTGGAGAAATTAAATACAAGGTCACTAAGATGTCAGCAAACTTTTCTATTAAAAACCCTTTGAAAACATCTCACTGATCCTACTATAATCAAATGAGTGTCTTCTTTTATGTAATAAATCTCACAAATGTGTGGAGTATAACGATGATTAGCCTTGGCCGGGCGCAGTGGCTCATGCCTGTAATCCCAGCACTTTGGGAGGCTGAGGCGGGTGGATCACCTGAGGTCAGGAGTTAAGGACCAGCCTGGCCAACATGGAGAAACCCTGTCTCTACTAAAAACACAAAAATTAGCTGGGCGTGGTGGCGCATACCTGTAATACCAACTACTCCAGAGGCAGAAGAATCACTTGAACCCATGAGGTGGAGGCTACAGAGAGCTGAGATCACACCACTGCATTCCAGCCTGGGCAACAAGAGCAAAACTCCATCTCAAAAAAAAAAAAAGATTAACCTCAGTGAATGTTTTATAGTATAGCTGTTACTCTGCAAAAAGACAAATTACACTGTCATACTAAAAGTACTTTTTGTTATGTAAGTAAATATTAGCTTTTGTAAGCCTTTTTTGTTACTGAAAAGTTAAAGCTTGTTAAAATAAATACCTGGATCAATTAAATATGTTTAATCTACCCTTTTCCTAGGCTGTGAATAGATCACTTAAGACTTTTCCACTTCCCAGAAAGATGTCAACAAAGTCGGAACTCCTTAACCTCCTGCTCCCTGCTCTTATAGAATTTCATAGATTACTACAGAAAGATGAATTAACCCTCTATCAGCTATTTACACTGGGATAGTTCTCCAATACAAATGAGAGATTTCCGTCGCTCTTTCAGTTTGTGTGGTCTTTCTTCTGACAAACAAAACGCTTTGTAAAATGCCTAGGATGGATCTGGTGGTGTAATCTGGGCTATTAGGACAGTTTATCCTCTGTGTTAAGCTAATGTAAGAACACAGCCAGAGATATCTACATCATTAGCACTGTTATTCTACAAACCAAAATATGAAAAACACTCGGTTTTAAGGATCCAGCATTCTATTATTTTTCTTTATAGCCCTGGCTTTAACACAATGATTCATAATTTTTCCAATCATCATTTTCACAACAGCCATGCTAAGTCCTTTATTTATTTGTTTATTTATTTATTTATTTAGAGTCAGAGTCTCGCTCTATTGCCCAGGCTGGAGTGCAATGGCGCGATCTCGGCTCACTGCAACCTCCGCCTCTCAGGTTCAAGCAATTCTCCTGCTGCAACATCCCAAGTAGCTGAGATTACAGGCACATGTCATCATGCCCACCTAATGTTTTTGTACTTTTAGTAGAAACAGGGTTTCACCATGTTGGCCAGGCTGGTCTCAAACTCCTGACCTCAAGTGATCTACCCGCCTCAGCCTCCTAAAGTGCTGAGATTATAGGTGTGAGCTACCATGCCCAGCCATGCTAAGTCCTTTATACAAGCATAAACTGGACAGCCTCCCTCTACAATTGTTTTCATTATCTTTACTCTCTGATGTGAAAAACTGGTTAGGAATTTTTTGTTGCTGTTGTTAAGATGGAGTCTCCTTCTATCGCCTAGGCTGGGCTGCAGTGGTGTGATCTTGGCTCACTGCAACCTCCTCCTCCCAGATTCAAGGGATTCTCCTGCCTCAGCCTCCCGAGTACCTGGGATTACAGGCACCTGCCACCATGCTCGGCTAATTTTTGTGTTTTTAGTAGAGACGGGGTTTCTCCATGTTGGCCAGGCTGGCGAACTCCTGACCTCTCGCCACCTCGGCCTCCCAAAGTGCTGGGATTATAGGCATGAGTCACTGCACCTGGCCATCTGGTTGGGAATTTTTAAAAACATCTGGTGAAAACCCAGGGATATCTTCATCAGGGCTCTCCTTCTCCAGCTAGGAAATGATGTTCCAAAATGCTAAGACATCACTTGATGATAATTAATTCCCACAAATTGATTTTTTTAGGAAGATCTTGATTTAAATTAGTATTTTATAATCACCTATACCATATAATAATTTCCACTTACTTTCAGGTTTTGCATCTGCTGCAGCTTGGCGCATGCTTTTCAGCTGGTTTTGTACTCTTTGCAATCTTTGCACTGCATGAAATAGCTTTAAAATACAATTAAATTGATTACTTGCTTAGTCTACTGAAGCTTATCTCTCACTTAAGCAAGCAATGGAAAATACAAGTTCCATATAATTCTTATGATATAAAAGGAACAAATAATAAAAACTCAGAAAATTCCCATATTAAACCCAAAATGTAACTGGTTCTCTCAATACCTTTTCATGTACATTTTAAAAGGAAGTTTTCAGAAATTTTTCTTTAGTTATTTATTGAATTTGCAGTTTAAGGAAAAATACTTATCAAAGAAACACACACACCAGATTTTTCTTGTTATACATGGTTTTCTTAAGGCTAAGTAATGTTAACATTGTCATAGCGATGTTTCAGAATCACAAACCGACGCCAAGTAATGCAGCTTACTGCTTAGGCAATGCAGCTTACTGCTGCAGTGAAACTACTTCAATGCCAAGTCAAGTGCCAGCAGAGCCAAACATTTAAACTGCTGATTTAGTAGTAAATGAAGCTTATGTGAAATATATTTTAATGTATAACTCTACTCAGATTTTAAAATAGATTTTTAATATGTAGAAGTAATAATTTCTGAGCAAATTATTTTTTCTTTAAGCCAAAGTTTAAAAACATGGAGTGTAGGTGATTTTGAGCCTTTTCATGACTTATTTGCCATTGTATTAAATTGCAGAGGGTACTGTGATCAGTGGAATAAAAAGAATGGTCTCATAGCCCTGCAATCTAAAGGCATCCGTTAGAGATTCTAGAAGTTTTATTAGCAGTTAATCTTACGACTCTTCTGTAATGTTGGAACAACATGAGGTAAGCATAGGCCAAAAGACAGTGTATAGATACAATTCAGAATATAAAACCCAAAAAGTGGTATTGTTGTTGCCACAAAATATTTATCTTTTTTTTTCTTTTCTCAGACAAAGTCTCACTCTGCTGCCTAAGCTGGAGTGCAGTGGTGCGGTCTCGGCTCACTGCAACCTCCACCTCCTGGGTTCAAGCTATTCTCCTGCCTCAGCCTCCTGAGTAGCTGGGACTATAGGCATGCGCCACCATGCCTGGCTAATTTTTGTATTTTTAGTACAGACAGGGTTTCACTGTGTTGGCCAGGTTGGTCTTGAACTCCTGACCTTGTAATCCGCCCGCCTCAGCCTCCCAAAGTGCTGGGATTACAGGCGTTAGCCACCGCACCCGGCCCGAAATATTTATCTTAATTAAAAGAGTATTCCACTATGTTAGCAAAAGGAATGTGAAAGTCTACAATTTTAAAACTCTTTTCTTTACCTTTGGATTATGAGAAGGAACTATTTCTTTCATACAAAAATATAAACTTTTATGTGGATACCTGATTCTTTTGTTCCTGTTTCTGTTGTGCAAGATATTCTTCTCTCTCTTTTTCAACTCGAAGTTGCCTTGCTATTTTAAGCATCCATTGATAATTCTGAGCTGTCTCCACCTACAGTAAGGGAATAAGTAGTACACGTTACTGTCAGGTTTGAGGAAACAAATTAGCATGTCATGTGACTCAGACATCACTTATCATTTCCTTTTGGTAAACAGTACTCCCTAGAGATGACAGTAAAGCTCTAGACTCCAGGTCCTTGAAAGTGCTGGGCTACTGCCTAGAGAGATTCCCTTTTCGTCAATGTTATTTGAGTCCATCCTCAGATGTACACTCATGCTTGGCTGAATCTTTATTTGCATTCCTAAATCTTTGCAAGTCCTTGGGGCTTGGGGCCAAAGTCTTACAGTGCTAATTCTGCCTTACCCTTTTCTTCAGATGTTCAACTCTCTTAATGAGCTGATCCTTTTCTTCTTCCATTGCACTGATATCCTAAAAAGTGGCAAAGAAGACATTATAAGAAAAAGTATTCTCAGTCTGTAGGATACAGATAAGGTTTTATTTTGATTATGCATCTAACATTTTCATCATTTATAACCAGAGCATTAACAACCAAGATCCTCTTTTGGATGAAGGTCATTTCTATTTTTCTCCCAGGGCTTTTTATGCAGGGTAATTTTTTTGGCAGCTTGGTGTTCATCCAGAAATGCAACAAAAACCGGTTATAATGCAGCAAGGTAAAGCTGCCAACCAGCACATTTGTGTTCTGATTCCAAATATGGGCACATGATTTTTGAAAACTCTTCTATAATGGAAAGTGTGCACGTCTAAATACATGAACAACAGCTGCTGACATCCCATCTGTTCTGTTAAACACCAAACCGTATATTCTGCCAATTTTCCATCAAAATCATTTTTAAGGCTATGGTATTTTCATGACATAAATTTGTGCCTGGTTTTTCCAGTTAACCAATTCCCTCTCTGAAAATAAAGACTTGAAAAATAAACTTCCTTCCTATTAACCAGCTTCATAGTATTTTGTTATAAAAGCAAACAAATAAAAAAACCTCTTCCTAAATCTAAAAAAGTAATAGGTTAACTATCACAGTAACAGTAAAGTTACTGTACATTTACCATGTAAATATACATGGTAGTCAATATTGATAGAATTTGGAATAATGGGCACTCTTACTCATTACTGATAGCATTGTACTGAAGAACAATATCAAAAGTCTTAAAATACAGCCTGGTCAACATGTTGAAACTTTGTCTCTACTAAAAATACAAAATTAGCCGGGCATGGTGGCAAGTGCCTGTAATCCCAGCTACTTAGAAGGCTGAGGCAGGAGAATCGCTCGACCCCAGGAGGTGGAGGTTGGAGTGAGCCAAGATTGTGCCATTGCACTCCAGCCTGGGTGACAGAGTGAGACTCTGTCTCAAAAAAAAAAAAAGTGTTAAAATAAATGTTCATCCCTTCTAGCCCAGTAATTTTATATCTGATGATTTGTCCGGATAAAACATTCATGAAAAGACATCCTCTATAAAGATTCTCATTAATGCAAGTTACACCTAAAATTTCAAAATGACCAAAATGTATGAGAATTGTTAAATAAATCACTGCATAATACAATGAAAGTCATTAAAAATTATGCAGAAGAATGTTTAATGACATGAGAAAAAGTCATGATATGACATTACTTGAAAGAGGCAGATTACAACATTTATCTACAGAATACCAAGAAAAAGATTTAAATATATTTATCAAAATGTCAAACCATAGTTGTCTCTAGAGAATGAGATTATGAGTGAATTATTTTTTATTTATTTATTTATTTTTGAGACAAAGACTCACTCTGTCACCCACCTAGACTGCAGTGGTATGATCACAGCTCACTGCAGCCTTGAACTCTTAGGCTCAAGTGATCCTCCTGCCTCAGCTTCCTGAGTAGCTGGGACTACAGGCGAGCACCACCACCTGCCTGGCTAATTTTTTTTTTTTCTTGAGACAGAATCTTGCCATCTTGCCCGAGCTGGTCTCAAACTCTTGGGCTCAAATGATCCTCCAGCCTCAGCCACCCAAAGTGTTTGGATTACAGGCATGAGCTACCACACCTGGCCTACTAAAGTATTCCTGAACATATGCTTCGTAGAAAATTTAGAAAATATGATTAAACAAGAAATAGAAGCTAGTTGCAGTAGTGGCTCATGCCTATAATCCCGGTACTTTGAGAGGCCAAGGTAGGAGGATGGCTTGAGCCCAAGAGGTCAACACCAACCTGGGCAACATGGCAAAATCCCGTCACTACAAAAAAAATACAAAAATTAGCTGGGCATGGTGGTGCCTGCCTGTAATCCCAGCTACTCAGGAGGCTCAGGCAGATGGATCATTTGAACTTGGGATGTAGAGACTGCAGTGAGCTGTGATCACACCACTGTACTCCAGGCTGGTTAACAAAGTGAAACCCTGTCTCAAAAAAAAAAAAAAAAGGAGAGAAAACTTGAGTAATAATGAATGAAATTAAAATACAGACTCTAGGTTCTTGTCATTATTCTGGTTTACTTATAGGACATAATGGAGGAATAGTAGATGGACATACATCACTTTTCTTCCGTACTATAAGAAACTACTCATTGTGAATTTACCCCAGTCTCATCAATTTCATCAGTAAGGAACTACCGAAGGTCCCACAAAGTAAAATGTACCATTTGCTATCACAGTCTCCATATAGTCTTAAGACTCATACTGAATTAATTAAAAACAAAAATGCTAAATCCAATATTATTCAAATCCCAAGAAAATTGTTACTATGTTTTCTTTCCTTTACCTTTCTTATTTCTGCTGTAGAAAATCCAGATGCTTTGAGCTGCTCATATTCTTTATGCAAAGTTTTAAAGGCTTCCATTAACTCTTCATACTAAAAGAATAAGTTAATAAATTGTAAACTAATAACTAGATCCAGTTGAGTTTTCTTTTTTTTTTTTTTTTTTGAGACAGACTCTTGCTATGTTACCCAGCCTGGAGTGCAGTGGCACAATCTCGGCTCACTGCAACCTCCACCTCCCAGGTTCAAGCGATTCTCCTGCCTCAGCCTCCTGAGTGGCTGGGATTACATGCATGTGCCACCGCGCCTGGCTAATTTTTGTATTTTTAGTAGACACGGGGTTTCACCATGTTAGTCAGGCTGGTCTTGAACTCCTGACTCGTGATCCACTTGCTTTGGCCTCCCAAAGTGCTGGGATTACAGGTGTGAGCCATAGAGTTTTCTTAATCAGGTTATCTATTAACTTACAGCGATAACTTAAGTCATTGTTAGAACACCATTAAAAACACAAAAACACATCCTTATACATTTATATAGGATACAAAAAAGTACATCTCTACCATCTTAACACTAAATACTTCTCTATCTTCATTTCTGGTTACTTTCCTACTTCACACTCTACACTCTAGCTATGTTGATGTCTGAGTCCCAGAACATTCCAAGCTCTCATGTCCAGCTTATACATCTATGACTCCTTCACCCATAACTTAAGCAACTCCTATTCATCCTTCAAGTCTTCACATAGATTCCACTATTCTCAGGGAAGCCTTCTCTGGCTCTTTACCTATCCTATCAGAGTAGATATCATGTACAATTATAACTGACTATTATGATTTCCTGTCTGTCTCCCTCCATCATATAGTAAGAGCCAAGAGGAAAAGAATCATATTCATTGTGTACACCCTTGTATCCCTGGGGCCTAGCACAGTGCATAACCCATGGAGGTGTTTAATACAAAGTAGTTGAATGGGCTAGGTGCGGTGGCTCACACCTGTAATCCTAGCACTTTGGGATACTGAGGCAGATGGATCACTTGAGGTCAGGAGTTCGAGACCAGCCTGGCCAACATGGTGAAACCCCATCTCTACTAAAAATACAAAAAATTAACTGGGCACAGTGGCACACACCTGTAATCCCAGCTACTCAGGAGGCTGAGGCAGGAGATTGCTTGAACCTGGGAAGCGGAGATTGCAGTAAGCCGAGATCGTGCCACTGTACTCCAGCCTGGGTGACAGAGCGAGACTCTGTCTCAAATAAAGAAAAGTAATTGAATGAATGAAAAAAATCCCGTTACCTAAACATTTTTTAAAATAGTCTTTTTGTTGTTGTTGTTTTAGAGACAGGGTCTTACTCTGTCACCTTGGCTGGAGTGCAGTGGTGCGATCACAGCTCATTGCAGCCTCGACCTCCCTGGGCTTAGGTGATCCTACCACCTCAGCTTCCCAAGTAGTTGGGACTACAAGCTTATGTCACCATGCCGGGCTAATTTTTTAAATTTTTTGTAGAGATGCGTTTCACCATGTTGCCCAGACTGGTCTCCAACTCTTGAGCTCAAGCAATCTGCCCGCCTTGGCCTCCCAAAGTGCTAGGATTAAAGGCATGAGACACTATGCCTGGCCAAAAAGTTATTTTGATGGGGAATGACAGGAATAATATTTTTCTTGATTGATCATATCTTACAAATCTATAAATTATTAATTATAAGACTCTTAATTCCAAAAGATAATATGTATTTTTATTAGGATTCCTGAAATGACTGGCTAAATGTGTAAATCATTATACACTGTAAATCATTGTGTGTATATCTCTTTCTCATATATATAATGTATATATATATAGAGAGAGACAGACAGATACCTGTCGGATATGCTTCAAGAACAAGTATGTCTTTATTACCATTAATTATTTCATTAACTAGCTGAGCATATTTAGCAAAGACTTAATCAGGTTGGGCACTGTGGCTCATGCCTGTAATCCCAACACTTTGGGAGCCAAGTTGGGCGGATCACGAGGTCAGGAGTTCAAGACCAGCCTGGCCAACATAGTGAAACCCCATCTCTACTAAAAATACAAAGATTAGCTGGGTGTGGTGGTGGGCACCTGTAATCCCAGCTACTCGGGAGGCTGAGGCAGGAGAATCGCTTGAACCCAGGAGGCAGAGGTTGCAGTGAGCCAAGATCACACCACTGCACTCCATCCAGCCTGGGCAACAGAGCAAGACTCTGTCTCGGAAAAAAAAAAAACAACAAAAAAAAGATTTAATCAACTTCCTTTAGATAAATTAATTTTTATCAGATTTATTGATGGTGGGAGCCTAAGAAGGAGAAAGTACACATTTACACTTCTCTATTTCCCACATTGTGTAAAATATTCAAAGGTAAGGACAGGTGGTCTCATTCTGCTGTGCTTCTCCCATGGCATCTACTGTGACATCTGACATAATTATTTGCATAAATACTGTCTTAAGAGATCAATATTGACTCTATTTTGAGTTACTGCCATGTCCACCCAAAATAGCAAAATACATGGATAAAAATAAAAATATTCAGTTGGTTACTGTGATTCAATCCAAATATTGAGCTCACATTAGAAGTGACTACACAAAGTCTGGAAGAAAATAAAGACGGGTAAGACATTACACCTGTCTCTATGAGCCTCAGAATATATTGGGAAAAACAGATTGACAAACTGTTCACAACAATTTGGCACAAATCAGTCTATGTAAGTGCTGTGGAATAAAAGTGTGAAACACTGAACAGAAGCACTTAAAAAAAAAAAAAATCAAAGTCCTTTTAAATCTAAGCCTAATTACTTTCTCTCTACTTTCTTTGGCCAGCAATGTACTCAGGGATCTCAGGATCAGAAGCCAGACCAGCCAGAATCCTCAGTACTCAAGAGCTTTAAGACCTTATGCCAGAACCTAATGTTACTCCAAAACTCTGGCGAGAAAGATGCACTGAGACTTCAAACTCCGGAATCTATCTCTACGCTTTGTCTGATTAGGAAGTCCTTTGAGACTGCCAGCCTAGGTTCTTTGCCTGCTTCTTTCCAGGAGCTCACATGTCCCAATTTGCCTGGGATAGTGTCAATTTAAACCATTTTTCTTGGTGTTTAAATGTTATGATAGTCTGTTTCTCTCTAATTTGGATAAAAAACTATGTAGTCACCTTACGATGAACAAAGTGCTGTGCAGACTTAACCCAGGATCCTATTTACCCACAACTGCTAAGTAATAAATTATTCTAAAATCCTAGTATCAGGTTTTTTTTTTTTTTCTATTCACATAATCCTATCACTAAAACAGTATTTGTGCACAAAAGCCATTATCTTGAGATGTGGCCATAGTTGAACATTAGCTGATACAGTTTTATCTTCTTGTGCCACTTGGAACTATAAAGACAGCAAATGAAAAAAAGAGTAACATGTATTTGAATATGTACACCTTGAAATCCATTACAGTTTCAATGTACCATTTATGTATTGTTTACCTGTTTATTGGTGTCAGCCACAGTTTCATCCTGAAGAAACTCACTTGGTACCTCAAGTTTTATTAAAAAGCGAGCTAAATATGCTCTTTTCTTCAGTTCATTAGTCCTCTGAAGAAGCCAGTGGAGCACTGGGTAAATTACAGGTTTACTTCCAATCACCAAACCCTGACGAAAAGTAGTCCTAAGAGAGAAACACACACAAACACACACACACTTAACAGTAAACTTTGAAGAGAGACAGCATTTTCTCAAAAGCTGATTTACAATGTCCAAATTGCTTTCTGCAACTTTTTAAAAAAGATAAACTCAAGGAATTTTATTTTTTTTTGAGACAGGGTCTCGCTTTATTGCCCAGGCTGGAGCATAACACAGCTCACCGAAGCCTTAACCTCCTGGCTCAGGTGATCCTCCCACCTTAGCCTCCCAAGTAGCTGGGACTAGAGGCACCAACCACCATGCCCAGCTGATTTTCTGCTGTTGTATTTTTTTGTAGAGACAGCATTTCACCATGTTGCCCAGGCTGGTCTCGAACTCCTGAGCTCAAGCGATCCTTCCCCCCTTGGCCTATCAAAGTGCTAGGATTACAGGTGTGAGCTACCATGCATGGCCCCAAGGCTATTCTAAAGTCAGTCTGTACATTAGTTAGAAAATTAGAAAAATCAGGCCCTCAATATATCATTAGCGTATCCAAGTAAGTTGTGTTTAAGCTGTTTTTATCTAGGATAGCAGATAAAGGATAAAATGGTATAGTGGATTTACCAGACAGCTTGATTAAGGGAAAGAACTGACCCACTTAAGACTTCTGAGTTTGGTTGGTTATAGAAGGTTTAAGATTATTTTGAAACTCAGTGATGTTCTCAGGCCATCAAATGAGGGAAACCAGGTATTACCTAAAAAGATTGATTGCAGTATATGAAGGTTTGGATATTAAAGCATAATTTTAAAAACTCAATACGTGATCAGATTCTTACATGTCTGTGGCATTTCCTGAAGGTTTGTATTTAAGAATACCAAGAAGGCTCAACATTCGTTTGGCTGTCTGCTCTGGCATCTCCTCTCTTAAATCCACAAGTTGCTAACAAAGAAATTGAAAAAAAAAATATGTTATTGCTGTATACGTAACAAAGGACAATATTTAAACTCACTGACAAAATTGTTCTGCTAGAGCTTAACAGCACAATGGTCTCTTCATAAAACAGATTAAGGATGGAGGTCCCCAGATTCCAAGTGAGGGTGCACCCAAGTCAGATCAAGATTCATATTAAGAATGTTAAGCTTCAAAAAAAGTATCCAGTGGAATGGACCAGTGTATGAGAGACATGAACTAACTTGCAATACAATAAAACCTTTTGTAAAAGCATTTTCATTCCCTAACCAAACCTATTTATGTCTGGAAGTAGAGAAATAATTTCTAAATAAGGTACTAATAGATAATTTATTTTTGAGCTAGCAGAGAAATGTTATGCATCATTTACTATTACTTTACAGACATGGTAAATAAGGCTCAGAGAGGTTAAATAATTTGCCCAAGACTCACAACTATTTAGAGGCAGAAACTGGCTTTCTGCTACCCATCAAAAAGAAAGAGAAAACTCTTACCTTTGGGTCAATCTCAGCCAGAACATCACTGAGAACTTGTAATAGTTGCATTGGCTCCAAGGAATCAAACGTGATTAAATTATAGTTCTTCCTAAAGGGCTCCTTATTGAGACTGTCCACAATGAATTTAATTTGATCACTCATAATTAGGTCTTATAATTTTAACTAAAAAGTAAAAATAGAAAAAAAAATCCTCAATACTGGTAACAAAAGTCCTGGGTAAAAACCAGAATTAAGTTCACACAACGTAGGCATGAAAAGTATAATTCTGCATGACATACAAAATGCTGTGAAAAGGGTTATTTTGTTGAAAGAAATCCAAGTATAATGGCTTTATTATGAAAACTGCAGTATATACTGTTAATTTTAACATCAAATGCTTTGTACATGCATCTGGTGTAACAGTAATCATCTGAGTTAATGTGGACAAATGAATAATAAATCCCACCTACATTAACATCTTTCCCATGCAGGTGCATAATTTCTACCCAGGAATTAAACATGCTCCTAATTTTTAGGAGCCTGTCTGCAAGCCTAACAGATGTTTCTCCCAAAAAATATTGAGAGATTTTTACTTTAAAATCTATATTTCCAGTTTCTCTTGAAAATCAGATCTGGCAACCATGGGCCCACATTTGTGTATGCCCACAACCAACTGCAGCTGAATAGAGGCTGCACACTTAAAGTACCCTTCATCCATTTCTGTTATTGGTGTGGCCAGTAGGCATCCACTCTGCCACCCTAGAGTAACTCAGGCCTTCATTTCCTTTGGCCTTCAATGAGGCAACAGCCTCTTGTTCTCTGGTCCCCACCTCTTCCCATTCCAAATCATCTGTAGGCTCCTTATCACACACAAAATACAGCTCAAACTTCTTGGATTTTGAGACTCTTTATGATTTGGCATAACTTATCCCTTTCCAACTTTATTTCCAAATTGTTACCTTTCTACCCCTTCAAAGTTCAGCCTATTGAAACAGTCACTGCTCCTTAGTTTTTCTATCACTCTGCCTTTAGTTAATGTTGCTTTCTCTGCCTAAAATGACTGCTCACCCCTCCTTCATCTCGAGAGGTGCAAACCCCCCAACCATCTTTCAAGCCATGCCCACCAAATGCCAGTTCCCCCAGGAAATCTTTCTCAAGCTATCCTCCAGGTTTTGCAGCAGTGCCAACACCTGTCCTCCATAGCTGACCACACTTAAACTGTGCTTCTCTCCTAGCATGACTTTTGATCTTGTGCTAGTTCTTTAGGTACACATCTTCTCTTCCCTGCTAAACTGTAAATTCCATATCTGTGTCCAATTCCATTTTTGAACATCCACTGTCTAAAACGTTGATTCCTTCCACTAGCTTGAATAAACTTTTTCACAGGCAAAAGGCCAGAAACAACATAAGCCTAAATCTAAAGGAAATCAGGCTGGCAGTGAGAAAGATCATAACTTTTTAAAAAATTGAATATCTGATTTCTTAACTGCTGAAACAGCTTTACCTAGGTAAATGCTTTAACGATTAAGAATAAATTAAAAAATAAATTGCTGCTGGGAGCTGTCACTCATTCCTGTAATCCCAGCACTTTGGGAGGCCGAGGCAGGCGGATCACTTGAGGTCAGGAGTTCGAGGCCAGCCTGGCCAACATGGTGAAATCCAGTCTCTACTAAAAATACAAAAATTAGCCAGTTGTGGTGGCGGGTGCCGGTAGTCCCAGCTACAAGGAGGCTGAGGCAAAAGAATCGCTTGAACCCGGGACGCGGAGGTTGCAGTAAGCCGAGATCGGGCCACTGCATTCCAGCCCAGGGGACAGAGCAAGACTCCGATTCAACAAAAAAAAAAAAAAGGAAAAAAGGATATGATCATTTCTCCACCATGATGAAAAATTATGCACAAATAATTATTATTGCTAAGAAAATAAGTCAAAAGAGGATAGGAAGGATAACCACCAGGGCTTATAATAAATCTGAGGTTTCCTTTAAGCTATAAAAGGAAAACCTTTAAATAAGTTTCTTTTTTAAATCCATATTGGAAGTGCAAGTTTTCCATTGTTTAAAGTATTTTAAGTAAAAGTCCACATCATAATCTTTGCGTGCAGAAATATATATTTCATTTTAAATGATTTAGAAAGTATCTATAGGTCTATTCTTTTTTCCCTCAAAAAAAAAAAAAAGAAAAAAGAAAAAAGAAAAAACTGGATAAACCAGTACAACGTTTCCAGGAAGGCAAAATAAACTAGTTGGGTTCCCCCAAGTCGCCCACCAGCCTGCAAATGGTCACTCAATAAGGACAAAGGTGTACTGAACAGGCAGGCTACCTGTGCCCAGAGGGCTCTGCGCTCTAAAATTAGCAAAAGCAATTACTGTCCCTCTTCTAGCGCGAAGTCGCCGCGCTAATTCCCAAGCACTCACCCACAAACGAGTCGCAGGGGGCGGGGAACAATGAAAACCAGGACGTGCGTGTTCTCTGGCACAATTTGGGACAGAAACCGTGCTGCCCGGGTCCCAGGCTGGCACGAGCGCCGACCCGCAGCCTCCTGGGAGTCCCAGAAATAGCGTCCCCCTCCCCAAGCTCGGGACAGGGGACAGGGGACCCCACTCCCAACCGGGCCTCTAGCGGGGGCTGCCCTGGGCCGCTCGACAGTACACCCCGCCCGGGAGCGGCCTGGATCCGCGCGAATCCCAGCAGGGCCCCGATCCCTTATCCGAGGGCTTAACCGCGACGACCCCTTCCATTTGCGAGGTGCTGCATCGGGATCGAGAGAGGACGGGATTACTCTCCTATTTCGGGGTTCAGGGGAGTTTCCGACCGCGAGTTGGCGAGGTTACCTCAAATCCTCCTCACGAAACCGTTTCCCCACCCCCAAGGAGGCGTCCAGGCTCTAGACGGCTCCTAGAGTCGAGCTCCTTGGCAACGGTTGCTAAGCCGTGGAGTTACGTCACTTCCGGGGAACCGGGCGCGCGCGCGAGCTGAGGGCGGGGCCTGGGTCCGTTAGGGTCTGACAGGCGCTGGGCTTACTTGCAAAGTTGGCCCTTTGGGACTGTTATTCCGACCTAGACGCGCTACAATAACCTTCCCGAAAGTCCTGTACTTCGCAGTTTACAAAATACTGTCTGCATGATTAACCTATGTTAAATGCGTGTGCTGTTTCATTCATTCATTCATTTATTCATTCATGCATGCATTCATGCACCAAACGTAGGTGATGATTTTTGTTTGTTTTTGAGGCAGGGCTGGGTGGTAGAGGGGTTGGGATGAGCAAGCATTTGGCCTATGCTTCAAATTTAGGTTTTTGACATAAGAATCTCCAAATTAGGTTATGCATAGGAACAATTGTAGTGAGGCTCTGGCAGGATTAAAAGAAGACACATTCATCATAGAGATTTCAGCTTCTGTGTCACATTACTGGGCCACATTACCTGAACTGGGAATTAATTTTTTTTAACCCAGTACGTTTTGAATATGCTGAGAGCCTGAAAGGGGGTGCAGGAGAACTAAGTGTCCTAAGGTTTCTTTGGCTTCTGAGTGGGCTCTCTTTAGGTGCCTGCAGAAATAGATTCAATCCTTGTGGTCTTCATGGAGTTCACATCCCGTGCAGGAGGCAGGGAGATCTTTGTGCCCAGTCACTGATGAGGTTTAAAAGTCTACTGGAATTTGCACTAGCGGGTTTGTGGGAGACTTTAGTTGGCAAATAGTATTTTGAACCAATCCCTATTAGACTAGAGACCACGATACTTTGTGATATCAGCTGGCAACGAAAGAAAGAGAAGGAAAAAAAATCAAATTATTGATACCTTGAAAACTTAGTTGCCTGCTCAAACAGCATAGGAGAAACCAACTATAGCTTTAGCATCAGACCTACCGCAACAAAAAATAACAGATTACGTATTAGGCATTTCCTATATGCCCTGTACTGTACGTGCTGCTGGGAATGCAGAAAAGCAGGACATACCTGGCCCCTGCCCTCATGGAGCTGACAGTCTAGTGCTGGCAGAGATTATTAAAGGGGCAACACCAATACAACTGAGATAAATTCTGTAACAAGAGAAGCCAATGATTAGGAGCCCAGATTAAGGGCCTCAAGTTTATTTGAGGAGGGAGGTGCCAAAGGGGCCATACCATCAGGAAAGCTTCTGTCAAATGGAGTGATGTTTAAGGATCAGTAAAAATTAGGCCTGGCACTGTGGCTCACACCTGTAATCACAGCACTTTGAGAGGCCAAGGCAACAAGATAACTTTGAGCCCAGGAGTTCAGGACCCGCCTGGGTAACAGAGCAAGACCCTTTCTCTACAAAAAATTAAAAGTAAAAATTGGCCTGGAGTGGTACCACTGCACTCCAGGCTGGGCAACAGAGTGAGACCCCCATCTCTTAAAAAAGATCAGTAAAAATTAGCCAAACAGGAAAAGGGAGAGTGCTTTGGGCAGGGGCAACACAACATTCCAAGAACAGTCCCATTGTTGGCTGCCCTCTGACTGTTGAAATATCAAGGGTAGGTACCCTGCAGGGCTCTTGGAGAGAAACTAAAACTGGCCCCACCCCACAGAATGCTCACAACCAATTAGGGGAGGCAACACTTAAAACCTCAAAAAATTAAGTAACTTATGTAATCCTGAGAGAAACAATACAAGATTTGTAGAAGGGGTTATATAATTCATTGATCCTGGTGGGTGTGTTAGGAGACATCCCTGGCTACCTGGGTTTGAATTCTGTATCTGCCATTGTGTACCCTCTCTTCATCTTGCTAACCTTCCTCATCTGTAAAACATGGCTATAATAAAACCCTCCTCAATAAGGTTGACATGAGGATTAAGTGAGTTGATATGGGTAAAGTGATTAGAACAGTGCCCAACATTGGGAAGCACTGAAGACATTTATGTTTTTTCTTTTTTAAAAAATGAGTCTGTACATACTGGCTCAAGCCTGTAATCTCAGCACTCTGCGAGGCTGAGGTGGGAGGATAGTTTGAGCCCAGGAGTTCAAGTCCAGCCTGAGCAACATAGTGAGACCCCGTCTTAAAAAAAAAAAAAAAAAAAAAGAAAGAAAGAAAGAAAGAAAGAAAGAAAGAAAGAAAGAAAAAAAAAAAACAAAAAGAAGAAGTAAACATTTTGTTAAATAAAAATTTTAAAATAAGATGGTTTGCCAGACACGATGGCTCATGCCTGTAATCCCAGCACTTTGGGAGGCTGAAATGGGCCGATCACTCCAATCAGGAGTTCAGGACCAGCCTGGCCAACATGGTGAAATTTCATCTCTATTAAAAATACAAAAATTAGCTGGACGTGGTGGCGCATGCCTGTAATCCCAGTTATTTGGGAGGCTGAGGCAGGAGAATCACTTGAACTTGGGAGGCAGAGGTTGCAGTGAGCCAAGATCATGTCATTGCACTCCAGTCTGGGCAACAGAGTGAGACTCTGTCTCAAAAAAAAAAAAAAAAAAAAAAAAAGAAAAGATGGGTTAGATTTGCACCTTCTATAGGGTTTATGGGTATAGGCTATAGAAATCCTAGATAGGAGTGGTTTATCTAATAGTTTTTAGTTCCTCCTCTCTCTGTTGCCACTGGTCTACAAACACTATACCTTTCAGTTATGAGACTGCAATCTCGTCTAAATTCAAATAAGCAAGAGGATCCACTCTTTGGACTAAAACTTGAATAGATTTTATGCTTAATATGGTTGCTCTGGAACACAGGGAAGAACTTGAAGCCAGTCAGCATGCTTCCTGAAATCTGTATATTGAAAAATTTATGTTCCAACTTACAGTAAAAAAGAGACCTGCATATATTGGGTCCCCAGGCCAAAGGAAGATTAGCTACCACTCCCTGATTCTGTGTGTGTGTGTGTGTGTGTGTGTGTGTGTGTGTGTGTGTGTGTGTGTTGGGAGATGGAGTCTCACTCTGTCGCCCAGGCTGGAGTGCAGTGGTGCGATCTCAGCTCACTGCAGCCTCCACCTCCTGGGCTCAAGCAATTCTCCTGTCTCAGCCTCCCAAAGTGATTGGATTACAGGTGTGAGCCATTGCACCCAGCCCCCTGATTCATTTAAGATAAAACCTTGGGTGGATTCATTGAAGGGTCTAAGAGGGAATTCTCAGCAACAATTTCACAACAACAGAGGCATTGCTGATCTCCTCCCAACTGAGCCACCCATGAAGTCTTTTTTTTCCCTCCTTAGATGCTATGTTGAGTCTTCTCTGTAAGCTCCCAACAATGCCTTTTGGCTGAACTATATTTGACATTTTTAATAGAGGGCAGGAAGTTCTAGCCATATGTGACAGCTTTTCTGAAAGCTTCCCACTCCTTCCTCACTCTCTTTTTGACACAGCGCTATTAAGATATAATTCACATACATACAATTCACTCATTTAAAGTGTACAATTCAAGCTGGGCATGGTGGTTCATGCCTGTAATCCCAGTACTTTGGGAGTCCAAGGTGGGTGGATCACCTGAGGCCAGGAGTCCAAGACCAGCCTGGTCAATATGATGAAATTCCTTCTCTACTAAAAATACCAAAAAAATAAAATAAAATTAGCCAGACATGGTGGTGGGCACCTGTAATCCCAGCTACTCAAGAAGCTGAGACAGGAGAATCACTTGAGCCCAGGAGGCAGAGATTGCAGTGAGCCAAGATCACGTCACTGCACTCAAACCTGGGAGACAGAGCGAGACTCCGTCTGAAAAAAAAAAAAGTGTACAATTCAATGGCTTTTAGCATATTCATAAAGTTGTGCAACCATCACCACTATCTAATCCCAGAACATTTTTATTACACCAAAAAGAAACCCTGTACTCTTCAGCTATCACCCTCACAATGAAAAGCTCCCCATTTCACGGCCCTAGGCAACCACTAATTTACTTTCCATCTCTATGGATTGGCCTTTTCTGGACATTTCATATAAATGAAATCATACAAAATGTGGTCTTTTGTGTCTGGCTTCTTTTGCTTAGTATAATGTTTTTAAGGTTCATCCATGTAGTGACATGGATCAATACATCATTCCCGGTTTTTGTTGTTGTTGTTGTTGTTGTTGTTGTCATTTAAGATGGAGTCTCCCTCTGTCTCCCAGGCTGGAGTGCAGTAGCACGATCGTGGCTCACCGCAACCACTGCCTCCTGGGTTTAAGCCTCCTGAGTTCAAGTGATTCTCCTGCCTCAGCCTCCTGAGTAACTGGAACTACAGGTGTGCGCCACCACAACTGGCTAATTTTTTGTATTTTTAGTACAGACAGGGTTTTGCCATGTTGACCAGGCTGGTCTTGAACTCCTAGCTTCACATGATCTGTCCACCTCTGCCTCCCAAAGTGCTGGGATTACAGGTGTGAGCCACCATGCCTGGCCCATCATTCCCTTTTATTGCCAAATAATTCCATTCTATGGATAGACCACATTTTGTTTATGCATTTTCTATTCCTGGACATTTGAGTTGGTTCCACTTTTTTGCTACTATGAATAATGCTGCTATGAACATTTGTATACACACTTTCGACCCCTTATGAATAAGGATTCCATTGCCTAGGTTGGGTGAGCAGGATATATACATCAGCAGGACTGCAGAAAGGATTCATTCTTACAGTGTCTCTTCCTTTCGATTTTTGTTAATTTTTGGCTTGTTGGGTACCTATGGTTGTAGATTACAGGACCCAAGATGTGGAGGCTTTAGTAGTTTTTGGTTATAATGTAACAGACCTGTTACTGAAACCTACTCATCCCTTGCTACCAAAGCACTAGAATCCCCAATCTGTTTCTCACCAGAAGCCCTCTGATAACAAGATGCCGCTTGCATGGATGGGCTTCAAATGTTCACCATCTTCCAGTGGAGGAGAGGGTGAGGCGAGGTGAGGAGGAGGTGAGAAAAACTTGAAGCTGCCCCTTCTTATCTCCTTATTTAACTGTGTAGATAATAAGGAGTATCCACAGTT